TTTTTTGAGATGGAGTCTTGCTCTGTCACCCAGGCTGGAGTGCAGGCAGTGGCATGATCTTGGCTCACTGCAACTTCTGCCTCCCGGGTTTAAGCAATTCTCCTGCCTCAGCCTCCCAAGAAGCTGGGATTACAGGTGTGTGCCACCATGCCCGGCTAATTTTTGTATTTTTAGCAGAGATGGGGTTTCACCACGTTGGCCAGGCTAGTCTCGGACTCCTGACCTCATGATCTGCCTGCCTCAGCCGCCCAAAGTGCTGGGATTACAGGTGTGAGCCATTGCACCCAGCCCGCTTTTGGCTTTTAAGAACTAGAACAGTATAAATATGCCCACTCTCACCCTCTTATTCAACATAGTACTGGAAGTCCTTCCCAGAGCAATTAGGCAAGAGAAGAAATAAAAGGCATACAAATTGGAAAGAGTAGGTAAAATTGTCCCTATTTGCAGATGACATGATCTCATATACAGAAAAACCTAAAGATTCCACCAAAAAACTCTTACCACTGATGACCGAAATCAGCACAGTTACAGGATACAAAATATACAAAAATGAGCAGCATTTCTATACACCAAACAACAAACTAGCTAAAAAAGAAATCAAGAAGGCAATTCCGGCAGGGCACAGTGGCTCATGCCTGTAATCCCAGCACTTCAGGAGGCCAAGGTGAGTGGATCACCAGAGGTCACGAGTTTGAAACCAGCCTGACCAATGTGGTGAAACCCCATCTCTACTAAAAATACAACAATTAGCCGGGTATGGTGGTGCACGCCTGCAGTCCCAGATACTCGGGAAGCTGAGGCAGGAAAATCGCTTGAACCCAGGAGGCGGAGGTTGCAGTGAGCTGAGATTATGCCACTGCACTCCAGCCTGGGCAAAAGAGCAAGACTCCGTCTCCAAAAAACAAAAGAAGAAGAAGGAGGCAACTCCATTTATGACAGCTACCAAAAATAAAATACCCAGGAATAAATTTAACCAAAGAGATGAAAGACCTCTACAAGGAAAACTACAAAACACTGATAAAAGAAACTGAAGAGGATACAAACAAATAGAAAGACATCACATGCTCATGGGTTGGAGGAATTAATATAGTTAAAATGACAATAGCAATCTACAGATTGAATGCCATTCTACCAAAATATCAATGACATTCTTCACAGAAATAGAAAAAAAAATCCCAAAATTTGTATGGAACCACAAAAGACCCTGAATAGCCAAAGCAACCCTGAGCAAAAAGAACAAAGCTAGAGGCATCACACTAACAGACCTCAAAGTAAACTACAAAGCTGTAATAACCAAAACAACCTGGTACTGTCATAAAAACAGACACATAGGCCAATGGAACAAAATAGGGAACACAGAAATTAATCCACGTATCTACGGGCCAACTGACTTTTGACAAAAGTACCAAGAACACTCACTGGGGAAAGGCCAGTCTCTTCAATAAATGATACTGGGAAAACTGGCTATCCAGATGCAGAAGAATAAACTAGATCCCCATCTCTCACCCTATACAAAATCAAGTGTAAATGGATCAAAGACCTAAATGTAAGACTCAAAACAATAAAACTACTAGATGAAAACATTTAAGAAATGTTTCAGGACATTAGTCTGGGAAAATACTTTATAAATAAGACCTCAAAAGCACAGGAAACAAAACCAAAAATGAACAAATGGGATTATATTGAACTAAAAAGCTTCAGGGCAACCAAGAAACAACAAGATAAAAAGACAAGCTACAGAATGGGAGAAGATATTTGCAAATTACTCCTCTGACAGGAGATTTTTTTTTTTTGAAGCCAGTCAAATTTAGCAGTGGGGAGTCATACACCAACTTTAGTGACACTATGTTAAATTCTGATAACTCATTACCATTGGACCAGCCAGACAGGGGGTTAATATCCAGAATAAACAAGGAACTCAAATATCTCAACAGAAAAAAATACATATATCCAATTTTAAAAATCGACAAATAATCTGAACAGACATTTCTCAAAGAAAGACATACCAATGACCAACAAATATATGAAAAAATGTTCGACATCACTAATCATGAGGGAAATGCAAATCAAAACCACACTGAGGTATCATCTCACCCCTGTTAGGTTGGCTATTATCAAAAACACAAAAAATAATAAATGCTGATGAGGATGCAGCAGAGCAAAGGGAACCCTTATACACTGTTGGTGGGAATGTAAACTAGAAGAGCCACTATGGAAAACAGTATGGAAGTTCCTTAAAAAACTATAAACAGAACTACCATTAGGATCCAACAATCCCACTAGTGGGAATTTATCCAAATGAAAAGAAATCAGAATATGGAAGAGATATCTGCTCCCCCATGTTCACTGCAGCACTATTCACAACAGCAAAGAATGAACCTACATGTCAACAACAGAGAATGGATAAAGAAAATGTGGTATATATATTCAATGGAGTATTATTCAGCCATGAAAAAGAATAAAATCCTGTCCTTCACAGTCAACATGGATGGAACTAGAGGGCATTATGTTAAGTGAAATAAGCCAGGAACAGAAAGCTAAACACCACATGTTCTCACTCATATGTGAAGCTAAATAAAAGTTGATCGCATACGTTAAAAGCAGAAGAGAGGATAGCAGAGGCTGGGAAGGATAGGAGGAAGAGAGGAGTAGGAAGAGATTTGTTAAAGAATACAAAATTACAGCTAGACAGGAGGAATAACTTCTGGTGTTATATACCACTGTAGGATGACTAGAGTTAACAGTAATATAGTTTCAATTAGCTAGAAGGAGGATATTAAACGTTCCCAACACAAAGAAATGATAAATGTTTGAGATGATGAATATACTAATTACCCTGACCTGATCACTACAAATTATATTCATCAAAACATCATTAGGTATCCCACGAGTATGTAAAATTATTTGTCAATTTTTACAAATAACTTTTAAGAAAGAACAAAATTGTAGTGACTAGACTCTATCACCTCTCATCTCTTTTAACACTCCCACCATCCAGCACCAATGCGAAACACGTAAGCAGCAACTGATAATTTCAGCTAAGTGAATAAACAGATGAATGAAATAGAATTTTAGCCAGAGTTTTAAGACAGGTAGGATAGGCTGGGCGTGGTGGCACAGGCCTGTAATCCCAGCACTTTGGGACGAGGAGGCGGGTGGCTTACTTGAGGCCAGGAGTTCAAGATCAGCCTGGGCAACATGGCAAAACCTTGTCTGTACAAAAATACAAAAATTAGCTGGGCATAGGGGTGCACGTCTGTAGTCCCAGCTACTTGAGAGGCTGAGGTGGGAGGACTGCTTGAGCCCAGGAGGTGGAGGTTGCAGTCAGCCGAGATAGAGCCACTGCACTCCAGCCTGGGTGACAGAGCAAGACTCAGTCTCGAAAATAAATATATGAAGACAGGTAGGATAAATGTTATATCTAGTGATGAGTGAAGTATTAGGGCCACAGGTAACATATTTAAAAAACAGAGTACATACCAGAGCAAAGGAGTCCTGTGACTTTTTAAGTCCAAACCAATCTCAAAAGATTGAGTCAATGAAAATAGCACAAAATATTCTATTTCTGTAAGCCCCTTCTACAATGTCTATAGCACCTATTAGCAGTCGTGCAAGCTTTCCACTCTTCCTTCCGTCTCAACCTTGACCCAAAGGGGCCACCCTCTAGGGAAATGAAAAGAGAGAGTAAGGGGATAGGGATAGGGGAGGAAGCAGAGAGAGGAACACCACCTCTTCAGCACTTCAAGTTCAATCTAGTTTTCATTCACAAAAACTGTCTTTGAAAGGTAAAATGGTCAACCTTCATTCACAATTCATTTGACCCATGGGACCTGGCCCCCACCCCCAGCCCCTGCCAAGGTCACATGAACAGCCTTGACCTTTATATCCTAAAGGATATCCTCTAGGCCATTACACACAGGTCACAGAAAAGTCCTTGACGACCTATTTCTGTCCAGATACCTGGGCCAGCTTCACAACAGTGACCTGAAGGTAAAATGCTCCACATCCTATTACCAATTCAATCCCCCAGAGAAAATCAGTGAAGACATTTGTTATTTATAAAGGGCAACTCACCAAGGTCTCAGGACCTATTTGCTGCAAAACACAATATACACATTAACTTCAAGGCTACAAATGCTTGCCAACTTTCCAGCAAAAAAAAGCCTCCCCTTATCTGTTCACTTGACCTTCTGTCAAAGTGCTAAAGGATAAGAATTTTTTGATCTTCAACGAGTATCAAAGAAAACTCTACTTTCTCCAGAATGAAACAACCCAAGGCCATAATCTGATTGAGTATCTTACTGGAAACCAAGGAAGCATGCTGACTGCTCACAAGGCATTTTTATAAGGGTCAATTTTGATCCACCAGTGCAGCCCAGCCACCTCCAAAAGTGCCTTCTAAAGCACAGCTTACCTTGTAATTGCTAGAGTTCACCCAAGAGGTAGCAAGTCCATCCACAAGTTTATCTAACATGGTCTGGTCATGCTCAAGGTCAGCAGACTTCTGTTTGTCTGAGAAATAGTCTATCAGTTCTTGGCCAACCTGCAATCGTTTCCCCACATCCTTCTGCAACACCTGCGCCAGGCAGGACTCCATGCGAGGCTCCATAGTGGAATTCAAATCCAGATCCAGCAAAAGCTAGAGGGCAGTCAGGATGACTCCCTCCCAGCAGACGTATCTGGGAGGTTGCCTCTTTGTTCGCTGAAGGTTACTAAGAGCCTGTGTTTCAAAGATGCAATCTGGGGAATGGCAACAATGCACCATGTGTGTCTGAAGAGCAGCTGGTAGGATATTAAAAGTCCAATTTAAATAACCAGTAGGAGATAAAGGAGTGAGTGGCAGAGTGATGTTCTACTATTGGGTCTGAAATACTTCATAATTCAGCAGTCCATTCTGAAAAGTAAGAGAAGAGAACGACAAATTAGCACAGATAACACAACACTCAAATGTTACGAAACATTAAATCAAAGACAAAGCAATTCATGCTGCAGAATCATTTATAATCACAAGCAGAGTGAGAAGCACGAACGGCTTGGCAACCATATCGGAATAACATAATTATTATTTTTATCAGGAAGAACATCGAAGCCCAAAGAAGAGCCAATGAGCCACACAGTTGGCGGGTTGATGTTTTCCACAGTTTCCCAGCTTGTAAATGCACCAGTCAGGAAAGCAATCTTCTGCTTTAGCTAGAGTATTTATTTGTAACTTCAATTCTATTTCCCACCAGAAATCTAACATCACTCTGTGTCTGAATCACTGTAGGTACTGCAGCTTATTGCCTTACTCTCAGTCTTCTTTAAAAAAAAAACAAAAAACCAAGTATGGGAAATGAGGAAGGCTCCACAGAAAACACTGTTGACCAAAGTGGCTGGCTTGGTCACATTAAACAAAGTCAAGGGCAGCACCTACATCACACTACTTTACAATGGAGTAAGTGGTAGCCTCCACCTCCTCCTCCCTACAACAAAGAAAAGAAAGACACAAAAAGAGAAAGGAGGTGGGCGCAGTGGCTCACGCCTGTAATCCCAAAACTTTGGGAGGCCGGGGCAGGCAGATCATTTGAGGTCAGGAGTTCGAGACCAGCCTGACCAACGTGGTGAAATCCCGTTTCTACTAAAAATACAAAAATCAGCTGGGCGTGGTGGCAGTGCCTGTAGTCCCAGCTAATCAGGAGGCTGAGGCAGGAGAATCGCTTGAACCCACGAGGTGAAGCTTGCAGTGAGCCAAGATCGCGCCATTATATTACAGCCTGGGTGACAGAGCACAACTCCGTCTCAAAAAAAAAAAAAAAAAAAAATGAAACAACCTAAGGCCATAATCTGATTACATCAAATTTCAATTCTATTTCCCACCAGAAATCTAACATCACTCTGTGTCTGAATCCAATGTAGGTACTGCAGCTTATTGCCTTACTCTCAGTCTTCTTTAAAAAAAAAAACAAAAAACCAAGTATGGGAAATGAGGAAGGCTCTAATAGAAAAACACTGTTGACCAAAGTGGCTGGCTTGGCCACATTAAACAAAGTCAAGGCGGGCAGCACTCTACATCAGCACTACTTTACAATGGAGTAGTGAGGCGCCTCCACCTCCTCCTCCCTACAACAAAGAAAAGAAAGACACAAAAAGAGAAAGGAGGTGGGCGCAGTGGCTCACGCCTGTAATCCCAAAACTTTGGGAGGCCGGGGCAGGCAGATCATTTGAGGTCAGGAGTTCGAGACCAGCCTGACCAACGTGGTGAAACTCGCTTCTACTAAAAATACAAAAATCAGCTGGGCGTGGTGGCAGTGCCTGTAGTCCCAGCTAATCAGGAGGCTGAGGCAGGAGAATCGCTTGAACCCACGAGGCAGTTTTTCTGCAGTGAGCCAAGATCGCGCCATTATATTACAGCCTGGGTGACAGAGCACAACTCCGTCTCAAAAAAAAAAAAAAAAAAAAAAAAAGGCCGGGCACGGTGGCTTACACCTGTAATCCCAGCACTTTGGGAGGCCGAGGCAGGTCAGGAGTTCAAGACCAGCCTGGTCAACATGGTGAAATCCCATCTCTACTAAAAATATAAAAACCAGCCAGGCGTGGTGGTAGACACCTGTAATCCCAGCTACTCGGGGGGCTGAGGCAGGAGTATTGCTTGAACCCAGGAGACGGAGGTTGCAGTGAGCCGATGAGGTGAAACTGTACTCCAGCCTGGGTGACAGAGCAAGACTCTGTCTCAATAGAAAAAAGAGAAAGGCAACAGGCTCATATTCTGATCAGTTATTGACACAGTATTCTCGGCTGACAATAGCACCATTTGGGCCTAGTGTTTTGATATTAAAATTAGGAGATTGCAAAATCATGTTTGAATAGGGCAAAATACATGATATGGGAAAAGTACCCAAAACTGTTTTAACTACCCAAATTGCATAAGCTCTGTCGTTAACCTATAGCTGTTGGAGCATTGTACACATTTATTTCTTACTTATCCTAAAACCATTACTTAATTCCTTTCATTTTAAACCAAGAAGACCCATAGGAAACCTATCCTCAAGATTTAGTACCTCCCTGATACTGTGCCAAATTGAAGTTTTTTCCACACCAATAGTAAGTCCCAACTTTCAAAGTTTCCAGAAAATATATCTTTGTTTTCTAAATAAAGTTAAAATTCTCAGTAGAGTAACTCACAGTCTGAACACAGCAATTCTCTCCCTTTCTAATACCACCCCATCCCCATCCCTCATCTCAACATAAAAACATTGAGATTCTTTCTGAGGTATGGAATCACATACATCAAGTCACTCAGTGAGGAAAACCCTCCTTCAAAGCCCCAGCACATAACTACCCATCTTCTACTTTACTGCTTCCAACAACACAGAAGAGTGAGGGAGGGATAGCGTTCAACAGGACTTAGTATCCCACAGAGCAATCCTTCCTTATATCGAGGAGAGATCTGCTTTCCAGTCACTTCCAAATGCTGGAACTAGTCCCTCCTTCACAGGCAAGAGCTTCAAAAGCAGCTATTATCCTTCATTCCAATTTTTAGTACAAATATAATACTTCCAGTTCCTTTATCATCTCTTATGTTGGACTAGAGAAGGTATCAATGACATGGGAAAACTTAAGAAACCAAAAGGATTTCTTCCAGACCTAATATTAGTCCAAGAAGCAGACCAAATAAGCACCAGGCTAATGGTATATTAAAAATGGGCACAAATTCTTTGCTACTCCTCCCTCACCAAGGTGGAGTCCAAGTCCCCTCCTGCAGTGACTCTGGGCTTAACCCTGTGAAATCAGCAACTACAAAAGCAAGCAGAGACTTGCTATGCAAGCAATGGAACTTGCCCTCTTAGAATGCTGCCCTGGGATGGCCATGCTGTAAGGAAGCTGGTCTAGCCTGTTGGACATGAGAGGCCACGTGGGGAACCAACATGCTCTGACCAACAGCCAGCAGCAACTGCCAGACATGTGAGTGAAACCATCTGGGACCATCTACCCATTCCAGTCGTCATCCGACTGCAGTGATGCCAGTAAGTGTAAGGAAATAAGCAGAAAAGCCACCAAGCCAAACCACAGAATTATGAGAAATAACACTTCATTGTTGTTTTATTTAAGCCACTATATTCACAGCAGTTGGTAACACAGTAACAGATAACTGATATACTCCTTCTTCCCCTAAACAACTATCATTCATTTTCATTCATTCTCAGTGAAAAACAATTTCATAGTGTTTACTCCTTCAAGGGGCCTAAAATGAACAGATACTAACCAATAATAATAATAATAATATAATAATAAAATGTAAGGAGCTACATGAGGTGTCAGGTTCTGTGCTTATGTAATACTGATTTATATAATACTATCTCTAATTCTTCAATTTTATAAAGTAGGTGTTAACATCCTTATTTATAGATTAAGAAATTGAGGTAAAGTAAAGGTAAGCAATTTTCCAAGGTTGCATGGGAAATGAGTTTCCTTCCCCCACCTTGAAAACATTATTAGAAGTCTTAGCCTAATTCTGTTTTGACTCAAGAGGAGGTCAGATTTCCGGTTTAGCTAGGAAGCAACAGGCAAGAGAGCAAGGTCTCCATTTCTTAAGTAAACACTAGGAAAGATCCCATTTGTTCAGGTCTCCCTACCATGATTTATAAATATATATCATAAGAAAACCTCCCTTTCAACTAGAATTGAATAAGATTTCTAACAAATAAGCTTATGCTTCTTGAACGTAATTATGCAACAAAGGCTTTGTACACTCAGAAATAGGTCACAAATTCCTATGAACGAAATGCAAACAATGAAAGAGACTGGAAGCCCCTAGGCTTTCAGCAGATTGAATTCTCTCTTCTTTTTCTTCCTAATTTACAACAAGGTAACTATTATCTCTTACACTTATTCTTACTAAACTGAGGTTTCTGGACTTTTTTTATGCTTTTGTGTGTTTTCTACATCTCTATTTTCAGGGAATATTGATCACATAGTTCCAAATTCACAAGGTACAAAAGTGCAAGACCTGCCTTCCACCCCTGACCCTCCCAGCCACCCAGTGTCTCTCCTTAAAAGCAAGTAATGGCCGGGCACAGTGGCTCACGCCTGTAATCCCAGCACTTTGGGAGGTCGAGGCGGGTGGATCACGAGGTCAGGAGATGGAGACCAGCCTGGCCAACATGGTGAAACCCCGTCTCTACTAAAAATACAAAAATTAGCTGGGCATGGTGGCACGTGCCTGTAATCCCAGCTACTCGGGAGGCTGAGGCAGGAGAATCGTTTGAAGCAGGGAGTCAGAGGTTGCAGTGAGCGGAGATCACGCCACTGCACTCCAGCCTGGCAACAGAGAGAGACTGCATCTCAAAAAATAAATAAATAAGGCCAGGCGCGGTGGCTCACGCCTGTAATCCCAGCACTTAAGGAGGCCAAGGCGGGTGGATTACGAGGTCAGGAGATCGAGACCATCCTGGCTAACACGGTGAAACCCCGTCTCTACTAAAGAATACAAAAAATTAGCCGGGCATAGTGGCGAGCGCCTATAGTCCCAGATACGTGGGAGGCTGAGGCAGGAGAACGGCGTGAACCCGGGAGGCGGAGGTTGCAGTGAGCTGAGATTGTGCCACTGCACTCCAGTCTGGGGGAGACAGCAAGACTCTGTCTCAAAAAAATAAATTAAATAAATAAATAAATAAATAATCAGCAAGTAATGTCACCAGTTTCCCATGTATCCTTTCAGAAATATTTTTAACTATCAAAACAAATAAATATATGTGTTCTCCTCCCTGTATCCTCTAGGAAGAGTTTTCTAAACATTTACAATTAAATCATAAAAAGAGAAATCAAAAAATAATTGTATTTTAAAATGCAGAAAACTTAGAAAATAAGAGGAAAAAAGAATGACTTGGAGGAGTAAGAGAAGGAGGAGGAGGAGTT